AGGGACATTTTCTGGCTAATTGGAAATGTCTGTACCACACAGGGTTTCTCAAAGCAGGAGTTTTTAAACCTTGAGACGACCTCTTCTTCAAGCTGAGTGGAGGAGAAAGGAACTTTTCCATCTCTATTTTTTATCTATTGTCATCCTCCTCTTGCTGCATTTTTCTTTTTCAGTCTTTTTGTTTTTCTAAAGATTTATTTATTTATGCATACAGGAGATGGGGTACAGGCCAGATGTGTGGGGGTTGAGAGGCTTCACCAGAGACAGAGTAGGGAACAGAACAGGCAGACTGACAAATACACTGCTGAGGGGAGCAGGGGGAGAGACAGGAGAGGTCTGCGCACCATGTGGGTTGCTCCCTTGCTGGGGATGGAACTCGTGCTGCAGTGGCTGTGGATTGCTTCATAATGCTGATGCTTAACCCCTTGCACCACCAGGGACCCCACTTTTTCCAGTCTTCTTCCTCCCAGTGTATAACCATTAACTATTTTAGAAGAGAAATGATTTGGAGAAAGTTTTTTGAAAAGTAGGCTAAATGCTTCAATACCAATGGACTATATTCCTATTTATGTCAGTTTCCTTTCAAGCAAAAACTCCTTTCTGATGTCTCTTTAGGTGGGGTAGAGACTACATGTAGTCATGGTTACTGGGTTTTTTTTTTCCCTTCGTTGTGACTATTTGGCTACTGTCTCTTGTTTTTCTGTGAATCTCTCTGTCTCTGTTTCTCTCTTTGTCTTTGTCTCTTTCTGTCTCTCTCTCTCACTCTCTCTGTCTCTATCTCTCTGTCTCTCTGTCTCTCACTCTCTCTCTCTCTCACACACACACAGAGGAAGCCATGAAAAGTCTTTGGGCTTTGCACTGGAAGTGGCCCAGTGATGCAAAAGGGGAAGTGTAATGGTGCCAAAGATCAACTTAGGTTACATTGGAATTCTGCCCCCGGGGTGACTAAAGAGCCTGAGAAAATAATTTATGCTGGTTTTCCAGGTAGATTCTGAAAATTGGTTGTCTTTTTTTATATCTGGTAATGCAAAGAGAGTGTATTCCCCCAAGCTATACATATGCTAATTCTTAAAGCAATTTAAGAAATACAGTTTCCATATTGAAAGTCCCATAATGCTCTTTTATTTTCAGAGTCAGTGTGAGGTATGTAGAGATAGCTACAGTTCTGTATTTCTTCTTTTAAAAATTAAAATTTATAGTTTTTATTTTGAATACTCATAATTGAATATAGTATCTGAATTACTTGCTGTTTATATTTGGTTGCAAATTATTAAAATGCTGGGTACAGCATTTTAGCAGAAACTGGTGAAACACAAAAGCCAAGAATTTCAGTGTTATTTTCCAAAGTAACCAACATGCTTTCGATAAAATGATAGTCTCTGAGGGGAATCTTGAACTTGAACTGACTGGTTTTTTTGGAACTCAATGTCTTCTCTCTGATCTCTTTTCATAGATAATACAATTATTAGGATGTTTGTGTGTGCTGTTTCGATTTTACAAACAAAACAAAACATGAAGCTAGTAGCTTTTGTTTTCATTTCCTAGCAAATGTTTAAAAGTGCCAGCAAATTTGAAACATAAGGATTTTCTTTTTCTTTGTTTTTTATTGAAGTCAATACTTTTGGAATTAAAAAATGAAGTGAAACTAACAAAAAAGACTACTACATCTATAATTTGTACAGAAGGAAATGATTAGTATTCAGATATGTACCTGACATGTTACAGATGGTTTGTAATTTTGTGAAACAAAGCCTCCCTCCCACAAAATCACTAACTTTTGGTCTTAGGAATGGAGAATCAGATTAAAGCAACTGCTCTCATCAAAAGATTGGTGGGTGTACAGTATGTTGGGAAGGTTAAACTAAAAATGTAAATGTGCTGTTAGCAGAGGGCAGCTGAGACAACTCAGGTGTGTGGTGGCAGGTAGTGCTACATTGGCTTTGACCCCTGAGTGCTTTGACCCCCTTATTATTCAGTTCTCATGCGATGTCAGCCTATGGGATTGAACTAAAGCACACTTGTGACTCACCTTTTTTTTGACAAATAGATTATTTCAAAGTCAAGTTGCGCTGTTAGGAAATTTTAGTATAACTGGGTTCTTTTGGACATCATATAGATCAAGCTCTTTATTTTCTAAGAAAGGGATCAGTTGTCCCTATGTCCAGTATATTCCTTGTATTCCTTTAATTTTGCTCTTATTTGAAATAAGCTTTATCCAGAGTACAGTGTCTTCATTCAGAATGAAATTTCTTTTAGACATTAAGACAACTTGTATACAATTATGTAACTTAACAATCGTCTTTCTTCAGGATTTGCTTACTAAATTCATGACTTAGTAAAAGCAAATTATATTTTGACCTCTGTATTAGATTTATGTACTTTAAACATCCCTCTTGTGACTGTATTTACCTTTGAGTTGTGACAGAAAACATTTTCAGGGGCTAAAACATGTGACTAGATCTGTTAATACTTAAGAAGGAAGTCTCTGGGGTCCACGTTCCCACACTGACTTCATTCTACTGGCTGAAATCACATGTGAAATCAAAGTGAAAATAAAAAGAGGCACCAAAATTCCCTTGTCCCATTTTCACATGATGTATTATTGTTTTTATATATAAATTATATATATATAATTTTAAATTAATTATAGTTTTAAATATAATTATTATGGAAAATTTCACTACCACAGGAATATGCAAAGAAATGAAAATTACTTTAATTTTACTACTTTAGCCACTATTCAAATATTGACTTCTAGTCTTTTTCTTTCTAGTTATAGGTACTTTTAAACAAAATTGGGACTGTATTAAACATACTCCCTTATAGTCTGCTGTGTCAGTGAGCACTGCTTTAAAACATTTACCCATTTTCTTAAATATTCTACAGAATTTAAAAACTAGCCATTGTTGGATATTTAAAAAATAACTTAGAATGATATTATAATAGTAAACATCTCTGTACATGTCTTCGCGCATCTCTTGATCATTTAGAGGATAAATTCAGAGTTTTTCCCCCAATTTATTAGTTTCAAGGAATGAAAAATAATTCAGTTAAACTTGTTCTTTCCAATTATGGTGAAGCCCTCTTTTCTGCAAGAATCTGCCTTTATAGCACCACCATCTTGGTCTGTTACAATGGCGCAGTAACACTTCATTTATGTAACATGTGCAAATAAAAGTTTCACTTAACTGAAATTGACCCTTCAGAGTCTCTACTTGGTAGTTGTAAACATTTTGAATGTATATGCAATAGATTACATAAGCGGCTGTCCTCACTAATTGAAGAAAATATGAAAATCACAATTTAAACCCCTTCTGGCTTAAACATCAAGCATCCTTGTAAAACAATAGTTATTGCACAGTCAGTTCTGCTAAATTCCAGGTATGTGTTTCTGAAGACCACCATGCTATGCAAAATCATGCAGCAAAAAACCACAGCACTTATGGGAAAAATAGGGGCAGGGACACAACACTCCAACATCTTTATCAGTGACACATTATAAAAAGTAAGATAGGAACTGAGCACAAATTTATAAATATGAGGAGGTTAAAAATGAAATACAATAACTATATCATTTTATCCTGACAAAGTCCTGACATTTTCTTGTAGACCAAAGCCTTGGAAGGGTTGCTGCTTGTGAGTGATTGTGAAGTGGTGGAAGAAAGGTTACTTGAAATTGGCGGGAGAGCTGGGACATCCAATGTGGGTGGGTGTGGCTCTTGACACTGGTCAAAACAGATCATCTAGATAGATGTTTGAGACATGGGTGATGTGCATTCTGTGTATCTAATATGGGGAGTTCCGCCTAGGGGTACAGTCTCCTGTGATTTCCTCTTGTTGCTTGTAGCCAAATCATGCGTAAACAAACGTGAATGAATGTCTAGTGATGCTCAAATTGTTCCCTCCTATATCAACCTTGGCACAAACACATGCTTTATTTATAGTAGAACTGAATGTACTGTGTGGTAATTTGGTAATGTCTAGGGGATATTCTGCTTGGCCTAAATAGAGTTAATATACCTAAAACAGTTAGAGGAGCATTTGGCAGAAGAGTCAACACAACTGTGTAAGTGTCGATAGTAACAGTATCAACAATAATAACTGATGCCTCTTGGTGTTTTTGGAATTCTGTGTGTTTGGCAGTTATGACTGTCTACTGCAGAAGTGCTTCCTGCCTCTTAATTGAGCCATTTCTCAATCTCTTGTGGCTTTTAAATGAGTTTGTCATGCTTCTTAGAGTTACATCTAACATAAGATCCAGATTGGATGAGCTCATGGGTGGAACTTCAGGCTATGGTTTACCACTGTGGCATCTTTTTTCCCTACTCAAATTTTTCAGTCTTATTAATGAGCTCTTACCTATGTATTCATTTGCAGGATTGCTGGAGAAGTAGCTTAGGTTTTAAGTGAGGTTATTATTCTCCTGGAGAATTTTTGGATTTTCAGTTTTATTAGAAAAAGAACTAACAGGACTCTAATCATTTTCACTCCCCTGCAAATGTGAAATGTTCTTAAGTGAATACATTTGAAGGTCATTTTGAAGTTGTTGATCATTTTCTTTAACTTGTTATTGTTCACTTCTATTTACAACCACTTCTGTGTTTGTGAGATGAGCTCATCTTTGGAAGGTGGGGCAGGCGAGTGTGATTTCGGGAGACCTTTCTTCCCAAGTCACAGTATAATTAGAAGTGCAGATCCTCCCTCACTTGCTTTTTATCACTCCCTGAGAAGGACATTTTTGTCATGAGCAGTTGCCAAGAAGCCTTGCTGGTTCCTACTTTAGGAACTTTAATAAAAAGATGACAGATCAAACTACAATCTAGATTTAGCAAGCCTTGTTAGTATTATTCTGAAAGAAAAATAACATAGCACATTATTTAGTTGTGCCAATGGAATCTGTTTTAATTATGTAGAGACTTTGAATAGCAAATGGGGTGTTTTGATTTTTAATTTCTAATTCGGCTTTGAATTTTAACTTTTTTTCTCTACGTGATTTCTAGATGTATTTGGCTGCCTGACCTCACTGAGTGATTGCTCAATTAACAGACTTTGTGGGCAAAAGGAGCTTGCCTTCTGAGCTTTGTACCAAAGACCTGGGCAAAGTAAGTAATTTTCCAACTTACTTTTTTTCAGTCATTATATTGTAAAAAGTTAATAAGGGGTTTGTGAGTTTTCTAGTTTTTTTCTGGCTTAGTAAGGTTATGTCCTCTCAAGGAAAGGGACTCAGGAGAACTTTAAAAACAAATCTTCCAAGAGATTAGTATAAATTTGTGCATTGGGCCATTTCTTCTGTGTTTCAAAACTCATTCCTCAGGGTTGTGATCAAACCTTTTATCAAGTGTGTAATAGATGAATTATAGTTTAAAGCAGCATATTATAACTGAACAGAAAAGTGAGTCCAGTTTTCTGAGCTCCAGGTGTGTAAGATTTTCAGGTATTTTGGATAGGCTCTTTGGAGCTGAGTTTTTAGAACACGTGAAATCCATTTGCTACTTGTCCAAAAAGGTAAACCCATTTGGTACTTGTCTGAAAGGGTACATGCATAAGTAGAGTCACTCATTCAGTAAATCCCTTGTGTAGCTTGAATTTGGAAGAACTGGTACATCTACCAGTTTCATTGTTGTAAAACTTTCTTCTGGTACTCTAAGGTATTCAGATTGAGACACTTTGTATGAATGATTTTGCTGTCTTTTAGAAAAAAATGCTCAGTCTTTTTCTCCGATATTTTGAAAGGTAAAATCGATCTTAATGATAGTAACATCACTTACATCAATTTACATTGTTTGTAGTTACTACTTAGAAGTATGATCTCTCTCTCTGTCTGTCTGTCTGTCTGTCTGTCTCTCTCTCTCTCACACACACACACTCCAGAAATAATATCATTGACAACAGAACTATTTGTCCATTAAATTATGGGAATGTTTATTAAACTTTATGCCTTGGGCCTTTCAGTTCCCCTATATTTCTGACAGTACAGATGGGTCTGCAGAAACATGTCTAAGACAAAAGAAGACAGAAAAGGACTTTGCACTAGAAGTTCCATAGTAGCATTAAATAATATCAATTTTTCTTGCTATATTGTATTTACTATAAATTTACTTACAATTAAATTGTGTTATTTTATAATAATTATAATCAGGTAAGAGTCTTTAGTGTATGAAGTTTGTTTAAAGTTAAGATATTTGTACTGAAGAAATATTATACACCCCCACACAGAGTATACACACATCACAAATATAATTCCTGTCAACCATCAAGTAAATCTCTGTTAAAGCATAAATTCATCGAAAGCAAGGACTTTGTATCATTTTTTGTTACAGTGAATATTTGCAGTAGTGAAATACTATTGTCAATGAGATTTTTATAAATGATAGTTTATTCGTTGAATTTTGTAGTCTTGTATTCACATACTAACCTTAAAATAAAGGAAATCCTATAAGGTGGTGTTGTTCCAGGGATATTTAAAAGAGGATTATGTTAGAAGTCATCACTCTGACCACAGAAATGCAATGAAAAGGGCAAAAGATTAATTCTCTGGGCTTCAGTATCCAGATATTTGCAGTGGTGTTTAGCTAGGAAATCTAACTTAGTCCCAGAAAGAAAGCTACTTAAACTGCTTTTCAAATAATTTAGCATCTCTTTAAAGTTTAATATAGTCTCTGGTGAAATAGTTTCCATCCATTATAGCAAAATATTCCCTTTGTGACTTTGTTGTAAAAGTTATTTTTCCACGTTGCAGAGGCAAGGCATCTGTGGGAGTTCTGTTCACAATAGTAAGTTAGCGACAGCCCCTGGTACCAGAGGGACCTTGGCAAAAAGAGCCCTGTTTACTAAAGCTGGTGTCATAGATGGATATTTATATGCACAGATGGATGTTTATTTTTCACCTCTGATTTTAAAAAAAGAAGTGGGAGGTTATAATGCATAAGTATGCTCCACATAAATCTGATCCCGAAGGACTAGTTTTATAGAAGTTAGCATTAAGGGAGAATGGGGGATGGAGGGAGAAGGGGGGAGTCCTTTCTGCAATTTATCAAAGTCATGTGGGACGTGCTCACAGCACTTTAAAAGCTGTAAAGGGTGCTCGAGTGGATTGGTGATTTCTTTTGGGGAAGCAGTGCACGGTTTTAGGGAAAAATTCTGAACCCATACAACCTCCACACTGCTTTATGACTCCCTTTTGTTCTGTACAAATGTATTTTCAAAGTCCTCTTGTTTTAGAATCCTCTCATTTGGGGTAAATGTCTAGAAATTGGAGTCAGTAATATTGTCAAAGTTAGGATTGTTTTAAAATAAGGAAAAATAGCTTCTCTTTTATTATCCTATTTAACACATACATGTTTATTTTTATGCTAATACCAGAAACGTATATACTATAAATTGTTTGATATCTATCTCTATTGTGACTATTTGTGAGAATAAATATTTACCTGCAATATAATTTTTAGTGAACACGAAGTAATTGGATCTTAGCTTTTTGTTTCATTTTAGCTTGTCTGGCTTTCAGTTAGAAAGAAATATAAATATGTGAAATATGTGGTGTAGGTTTTTTATCTGTACACAGAGAATACATCAGGATTCACCTTCTGTAATTTCTATAGTGTTTACTCTAGTTAGTCATGTTCTGAATAGGTGGCTTGTGTTCAAAATTGTGTTAGTGTCTGGCAGGTACTGTGTATAAAGCTTTGTGTCTTCCTTGGTCTCTTTGTTGTATTACAGTGCAGGTGACATGTTCCTCCTGCTTAGCTGCCTTCATCAATATTTCTGTGCCTCCAGAAGGATTCTACCTACATATAGCTCCCTCCCAAGAAACTCTAAATAGCGCCGGTGTAGCTTCGTAGACGAGGTGGTGGGTACAGAAGGAACATCTCATAGACTTTGGAATATTATTTATTAGAACGAACTGCAATCTAAATTAATTGGAGATGCAAAACGTTTTATAAACTTTTGCATGCTTTCTCAGCTTGAATTTCATTTATTAAGCCAATATTTGTTACACAACTATTGCCAGGCACTGTGTTAGGAGCTCATTATTCAATAATGAATGAGATATACTCTTGCTTTCAAACAATTTTGAGTTTCAAATTCAGAATTCAAATAATTTTTATTCCTCATGTCCTTTGTGACAAGCAGTGGGCTGGTGTTCTGTGTTTGATTGTTAAATTCCAGTAATGATATTTATTGACCTAGCCCCTCCAAAATAAGTTGTGAATTATATTTTCTAATCTTTAAGTGTTTTTCTTTCATTTTATTTTCTTAAGCTTGTGGTATCTACTAATACTATTTAAGTTAAATTAGCAAATGGGTGAAAAGTTCATAAATTGCAGGTTAATAAACTTAGACCATTGATTTTTTTTTTAAAAGATTTATTTATTTATTTATACAAGCACTGGGTACAGTCAGAAGCATGGGAGGGTGAGAGAATTCACCAGAGCCAGAGTGGGGAGCAGAGCAGGCAGACTGACGAAGTACACTGCTGAGGGGAGCAGCAGGCAGCTGGAGAGGTCTGCACGCCATGTGGGACCCTCGCCCCGGGGCTAGGGATCAAATCAGCGCTGCAGAGGCTGCGGGCAGCTTCGCAGCCCAGCGCTCAACCGCTGCGCCACCAGGGAGCCCAGACCATTGATTTTTTAAAAAAGGTAGACGTGGGGCTCCCTGGTGGCCCAAGAGGTTGAGCACTGCACTATAGGGTGATCCGCAGCCTCAGTAGTATGAGTTCGATCCCCACGTGGGAGCAACCCACGTGGCACAGCAGACCTCTCCTGACTCGCCAGCTGCTCCCCTCAGCAGTGTACTTCAGTCAGTCTGCCTGTTTTGTTCCCCTCTCTCTCTCTGGTGAATCCTCTCACCTCCCCCCACCTCTGGCCTGTACCCCAGCTCTTGTATGCATAAATAAATAAATCTTTAAAAAAAGAAGGTAGACGTGTGTACACAGACAAACACATACATACTTTCCATATTTGGAAACCTGTATACCTTTCATGTAGTCATAATTTCCCCTAAGAGCAGGTTCTTAGCTCACATGATACAGTTGACTGTATCCAGGTGTCTTGTTATTTTGCCCTAAGACAGCTACTCTGTCCGAACAATGTGGAAGCCACAGCAGTAAGTCACTTGATTCTCACAGTCTTTTCAGGAACCCCCGACGGTTCTTGAAACTCCAGGGGGAGGTACCTTGTTCACATTCACACAGTCAGGGAGGCCGTCATTTCAGCTGAGGAATCAGGAAATGTGTTGGCTACAGTGTGTTGACCTGGCATTGAGATAGGTCTTGTGGACGGAGGTAGAAGACAAAAAGGGGAGAGTTGTAGAGTGTCCAGCGAGCATGTGCTGAGGTGTGGAGAAATGGAAGCCAGCAGCCTGAGCAGAGAGTGGCGGGAACTGCACTGAGCTGGAGCACGGGGCCCGTGGAAAGAAGAGCAGGCTTTGTGATGAAGACTGGCTGGTGCCCGGATGAGGGGCCACAGGCATGCCACACTAGAGACTCAGGGGCTCTAAGCAATAAATAGTCCTCAGAGTTTTCAGACATAATGAGAATGGAGCTGCCTAAGACCACTTGGGTGGCAGCATGGAATACAGACTGAAAAAGTAAAAGCTGGAGATTGAAGATCCAGGGCTGTGTTCTGAGGTTGTGCAGATTGTCCACTGCACAAGGGTGTGTTTGAGTTGTTGTGGGCAGAAACTGGTAACTACCTAGCATGTTACTCACCAAGCTGTGGTCTCTTGGGCCTGGGCCAGTCCAGAATAGGTGCCTTTTAAACTTTGTGCAGGAAAATGCACGGCTTTTTTTTTTTTTTTTAAGATTTATTTATTTATGCATACAAGAGCTGGGGTGCTGGCCAGAGATGTGAGGGGGAGGGTGAGAGGATTCACAGAGACAGAATGGGGAGCAGAACAAGCAGATGTACTGAAATATACTGCTGCAGGGAGCAGCGGGTGAGACAGGAGAGGTCTGCTGCACCATGTGGGTCAACTCCCTTGCCAGGGATCGAACTTGTGCTGCAGTGGCTTTGGATAGCTTCATAGTGCTGACGCTTAACTCCTTGCACCACCAGGGAGGTTCCTCAACTTGTCTTTTAATGCTCATAGAATGAGAGATTAG